GATTCAAGTGGGGAAAAAGTTGCATCACACAATTATGTACTATATACCATTATAACTAAATATTCCCAAATAGTTTTATGTAGGTAAGTAACATACTTTAAGTCAGGGAATAATTTATTTTCGTATTCAAGAAGCATATTCTAATGTCTGGATTTATATTTTGAGAAATACTGTTGTAAGACCTGAGAAATTCAGAACACAACCTGATGATAGTGTAGCAGGACGAGCCGCAGACAAAACTCCTCAGACACTGAGTTAAAGAAGGAAGGGGTTTATTCGGCCGGGAGCATCAGCAAGACTCCTATCTCAAGAGCCAAGCTCCTTGAGTGAGCAATTCCTGTCCCTTTTAAGGGCTCACAATTCTAAGGGGGTCTGCGTGAGAGGGTTGTGATCGATTGAGCAAGCAGCGGGTATGTGACTGGGGGCTGCATGCTCCGGTAATCAGAATGAAACAGAACAGGACAGGAATTTATACAATGCCTGGAATCTATAGATAACATAACCAGTTAGGTCAGGGGTCAATCTTTAACTACAGGGCCCAGGGCGCAGCGCTGGGCTGTCTGCCTGTGGATTTCATTTCTGCCTTTTACTTTTTACTTCTTTTTTCTTTGGAGGAGGAAATTGGGCATAAGACAATATGAGGGGGTGGTCTCCTCCCTTAACAGGTTACTAAAAGTAGCTACATCAAGATAAAATTATCATGACCTAATATAGTTTATGCATTTTATGGTAAGTTACCAATACAAGATATAAATTTGGATGCACTTTCTTTTTCATTACTTCATTTTTTATAGTGCAATGTAGTATGTGGCTAAAATTTTAAGTTATCTGTGAAGTAGGGGTATGACAAGAGGCAGGGCTTTCCTTTGGTAAATAAATTTGTGTGCGTAAATTGAACTCTTATGTTCAACTCTTGGGAATAATTAAATAAGACTCATAAATTTAAAAAATTGGAAATAAGCTGGGCACAGTGGCTCACACCTGTAATCCCAGCACTTTGGGGGGCCAAGGTGGGCAGATCACGAGGTCAGGAATTCGAGACTAGCCTGACCAATATGGTGAAACATGATCTCTACTAAAAATACAAAAAAAAAAATTAGCCAGCCATGGTGGCACGTGCCTGTAGTCCCAGCTACTTGGGAGGCTGAGGCAGAAGAATTGCTTGAATCCAGGAGGCAGAGGTTGCAGTGAGTTGAGATTGTACCACTGCACTCCAGCCTGGGTGACAGAGCGAGACTCCATCTCAAAAAAAAAAAAAAAAAAAAAAAATCAGAAATAACCTTATTATTAGAAATTATGCTCAAACTTCTCCTATATGTGTGTAGCATACTTAGTGAAAGAAAAAATGTCTGTATTGCTAAAAACTAATTGATCCAGCAACTGAGAATACACATTGGGTAGATCATGCAATCTCTGTTGTAAATAAAGTTTCCAGGCAACCATGGGTCTATTTCTAGGCTCTATTCTACTATTTTCCTAACCTCATGCCAACAGTTAATGATTACATCAAATATTACAACTTAGTCATTCTTCAAGTCTAAATAACGATTTCCCCTATGTTTTTCCAGAAGTGTCTTAATTATTCTTGGCTTACCTGCTATTTAAACTGAATCTTAGGCTTGTTAACCCAAAATCCCGTTGGGATTTTAATTGGAATTGAATTGAATGTATGGGTTAATTTTAGAGAAATGGATAGTCCTACAATGTTTGGTCTCCCTATCCATGAACTTGGTATAATCTCTCCATTCATTTGACTTTTTGTTGTTGTTTTTGTAGCACTTTGACCTTGGAATTTTTCTTAACAATCTTAACATTCTTTTTCATTTGGTGCTAATTTTGACTGTCCTCCACTGCTGCCTGGCAAATTATTACTTAGCCATTAAGTCTTAGCTCAAATGCCACCTCCTCTATGAAACCTTCCTTCATTACTTTAGGCTCAGTTGGTGGATCCTTCTCCTAAGGCCCCACCAACCAGGGTATTTTGCATACAATTGCAAGAACAGATATTTACTAACAGCCGACTATATGCCAACGCACTGAGTTAAGCACTCTCTGAGCATGAACTCATATAATCTCCAAAACAGCCGTTTAAAATCAAAATTGGTGCTATTACCTCCATTTATGACAGGATAAGCTCAGAGAGGGTAACTTGTCTGAGGCACACAGCCAGGATGAGCTAGGGCAGGATATAAGCCCAGGCACTCTAGCCTCAGAGTCCATGCTCTGGTGAATCGCCTTGGAAGCAGTTGTATTAAGAACGGAAGTTGTACTTTTACACTGTTGGTGGGAGTGTAAATTAGTTCAACCATTGTGGAAGACAGTGTGGCGATTGCTCAAGGATCTAGAACCAGAAATATCATTTAGACCCAGCAATGTCATTACTGGGTATATACCCAAAGGGTTATAAATCATGCTACTATAAAGACACATGCACACTATTTACAATAGCAAAGACTTAAAACCAACCCAAATGTCCATCAATGATAGGCTGGATAAAGAAAATGTGGCACATATATACCATGGAATACTATGCAGCCATAAAAAATAATGAGCCCATGTCCTTTGCAGGGACACGGATGAAGCTGGAAGCCATCATTCTCAGCAAACTAATCCAGGAACAGAAAACCAGACACCGTATGGTCTCAGTCATAAGTGAGAGTTGAACAATGAGAACACATGGACACAGGGAGGGGAACATCACACACTGAGACCTGTTGGGGGGTGTGGGGCAAGGGGAGGGAGAGCATTAGGACAAATACCTACAAAGCCCCTAATGCGGGACTTAAACCCTAGATGTCGGGTTGATGGGTGCAGCAAACCACCATGGCACATGTATACCTATGTAACAAACCTGCACATTCTGCACATGTATCCCAGAACTTAAAGTAAAATTTAAAAAAAAGAAAAAAGAACCGAAGTTGTTTACTTGCTGTCATTCATGCATCCCAGAAAAAAAGGTTTGAGTGCACACCCTGGATTAGGTACTGGGAAAGGCACTAGCTAGACAGGTGGTGATGAATAAAACAGACAGTAAATAGAAAATACATCATAATAATGTATCATGTATTTTAAAATAGCTACAAGATATTTTAAATATTCTCACCGCAAAGAAATGACAAATATTTGGGCCAGGTGCGGTGGCTCACACCTGTAATCCTAGTACTTTGGGAGACTGAGATGGGTGGATCACCTGAGGTCAGGAGTTCGAGACCAGCCTGGCTAACATGGTAAAACCCCGTTTCTACTAAAAATAAAAAAAATTAGCCAGGCATGGTGGAGCATGTCTGTAATCCCAGCTACTTGGGAGGCTGAGGCAGGAGATTCACTTGAACCTGGGAGGCAGAGGTTGTAGTGAGCCAAGATCGGGCCACTGCACTCCAGCCTGGGTGACAAGAGCAAAACTCTGCCTCAAACAAACAAACAAAAAACAAAAACAAGAGAAATGATAAATATTTGAGTGATAAATATGCTCATTAGCCTGATTTGAACACACCACAATTATACATATATTGAAAAATCACATGGTACCCTGTAAATATAGGCAATGATTTGTCAATGAAAAATGAAATAACACTTAAAAAAATAAAAAGTAAAAAAAAAAGTTACACCAATAAATATAAGAGGTACAAATTGTGCGAAGTGCCCTGGGGACAAGAGGAAAGGCGGGAAAACCTAGGGCTATATAAATGAGAATCACAAAGAGAGGAGGACAGGAGGAGGGCAATTACGGATGGGCTTGGGGGAATGCATGTCCTTGGATGCAGGTCACAGAAAGGAACTCATGAGCTTGATTCAGGATGTGTTGAATTTTCAGCCCCAGACACCTCCAGTCTGCGGAAGGTTGGACATACGGAAATCTGGGACTCTGGCATCATGGCTGGGTTGAAGGCACAGGATGGTAATCACTAAGGAGCAGGCTGTGGTTAAGCCACCGGCATGGAAGAGACTCCCCGAAGGGAAGCTGCAGAGTGAGAGGCAGGCAGAAGAGAGGAAAGAAGAAAATCACAGAGGTGGGGATGTCTTTGCATCCGTGTGTCTGCAGTGCCCAAAACAGGGCCTCGCGGAGAAGAGGTGCTCAGTACCCGTCTGTTGCCTGGCGGGCTGAATACATGGGCGACTGTCTCAGTGTCGCCTTAATTGTGTCCCTTCCTCTCTAGACCTCCGTTTCCCTCTGACCTGGGTCGGGTGGGCAGCTGTGGCTGCTGGGGCTCGGTGGGGCCCCTCCAAGACGCGCGTCCGCATCTGCCCGCCGGGTGTCCGCGGGGCGCAGTGTCCACTGGAGCGCGAGAGCCCCTGGGACCGCGGAGGACAGTGGCCTGGCCTCCCCCTGCGATCGCCCAGGAGCTCAGGGGCAGAGAGTGCGAGCGGGGAAAGGGGGTCCTGCACCCAGAGCGGGGCGTATGTGGCGAGGAAGCCAGGGAGACCGGGAAACGAGGCCCGCGGTGCAGAGGGCGCGGGGCGTGCGGGGACACCTCCCGGAGACACATGGTTGGGGCGGAAGTAAGGAGATGGAAAGGAGAGGGAGATCGGGGAGATGGACCTAAGAGACCCAGAGGCCTGCAGAGATTTTCATCCGGGACCCTTCAGAGCCCAGGAAAGAGCAGGTGCGGACGCGGGAGGGCGCCTCACGCCAAAGCGGGTAGCACCAGTGACCTAAACACGCCCCGCTTGGCAGCCCCGGGACGCACCTCTGCCCGGGTAGCGCAGCAGAGGCTTGGAGAGCGCGAGGTGGTAGGGCCCAGGCTGCCCCTAGAGGGCTGGCCCGAAGCGTTAGAGTCCAAAGACGCCTCCCGCCGCCGCCGGGTGGCAGAACTGGGGGCAGGCGCGTCCCACCGACCCCGAGGGGTGGCCCCGCCCCAGGGCCGTGGGGAGGTGCCCCCGTGCGGGGCGGAGTTGTCACCGCCCCCTCCCCAATCCCCAGGGACTGCGGCCCCTTCTTAAGCCCGCGGCGCTTCTAGCTGCCCCTCACTCGTCTCGCCCGCCAGTCTCCCTCCCGCGCGATGGCCTCGGCGCTGAGCTATGTCTCCAAGTTCAAGTCCTTCGTGATCTTGTTCGTCACCCCGCTCCTGCTGCTGCCACTCGTCATTCTGATGCCCGCCAAGGTCAGTTGCATCTCCAGGCAGCCCTTCGGACACCGGGCGCCCGGTGCCCACTAAGGGGCACCGAATCCGGGAGCCCTGAGCTGGAGCGCACGGATTTCACGGGGAGCACAGCTCTCCCGGGGCGCGCGCACTCAGGAGCTCCAGGTGCCAGATGGGAGGTGCCCTGTAAAGAATCCGAGGGGCATGGCGACCCCAGGGCGCACCACCCTTGGGGTTTACAGATCCCAGGGCGCAAGAGCCGTCCAGGCAAGCACAGAAACCTCGAAGTGAGCACAGATCTCAGTCACACAGATCCCAGCCTTAGGCTCAGTCCCTGGCTCCGAATTCAATCTCCCCACAGTGCATAACCCCGTTTCCTCCCAGAATGCCACCTGCGCCAACAGGGAACCTGGGAGCTTGCCTTTCCCTCTCTCTCTCCTGTCTTTTCCCTTCGCCAAAGAAGACTTCAAGCTGTAGGTGACTTCCGCCGTCAGGAGGGACCTACAGGAAAAAAATCATCACCCACGTGGATCCTGCGCTGTCTTTGCCACTCTCTGGTCCTTCCTTGGGCCTTAGTGTCTCTATCTGTGATCCACATTTCTTCCAACCTGGAGCGCCACATCTGATTCCTAATCCTGCCCCAGGCTGCAGGCAGGTCGGGGTTGGCCTGCTTTGCCTGCTGCCTGCTGGGGCTGTAGCAGGAGGCGGGACACATTCCCAGAGCTCACGCCTTGGGTGGCAGGACCTGGAGTCGCAGGGAAGCTTCCTCCCAGGCCCTAGTCTCCTAATGCTTCTGTGAGGGAGACAGAGAATGAATGGCCTTGGCCGCAGGGTGGGGGCAGGCTCCACTGGGCTGTGCACAGCCAGTTTGGCAGAGGCCCGAGCCCTTTGAAGCCTTTTGTGGCTGCTGGCTGCTCCTTCCTCGTTCCTTCTTTCAGCCCTTTCACTCTCAGCCCAGACAGGAAACCTCCAGCTCCCCCGCTCCCCTCCCCAGGCAGGTTTGGGAAACAGAGGAGCTCTTCAGGGGATGCTCTGGGGGGAGCTCTAGAGGAAGGGAGTGCACTGGGGTGTCAGGAAGCCAACCTGCAAGAGAACTGGACTTCCACCATTCTCTCATCTGCGTGACCTTAGCCAAGTGCCTGTGCTCTCTGGGCCTTGGTGTTCTCATCTGTACAATGGGGCTAGGCGGTTTGGTTCTGACACTTTAGGGCTTTGGGAATCAAAAGGGATTAAGGTTGGTTCCTAGGATGGGGGAGGGGGAGACTGGGAGGAGCCCTTGGGTGGGCCTAGCACAGGCCCTGGATGGGTCAAGGACAGCAGATCCAACTGTGGAGGCTCTGCAGTTGCCGCACCACCTGTGAGCAGCCACACTTCCTCCGTAGCAAGAAGTTTGGGGCTGTTATTGTCCAGGCGAAGGAGCCAGGCAGGAGAGCTGCGACTTCACCTCTGCTGGTAGGGAGTGACCTTCCCTGGGAATGATTATAGTAGCTTGGCTGACCTTCCTGCCCCAGGAGACCCCACTCACACACACACACACACACACACACACACACACACACACACAAAACACACAAACACACAGACACACAAACACACAAAACACACAAACACAGACACAAACACACAGACACACAAACAGAAAACACACACAAATACACAAAACACACAAACACAGACGTGCAAACACACACACAAACACACAGACACAAACGCACACACAAAACACACAAAAACACACAAACATACACAAACACACAAAACACACAGACACACAAACACACACAAAAACACACAAGCACACACACACACACCCTGAACTGGAAACCGCAACTCAGTGTGTGTGTGTGTGTGTGTGTGAGAGAGAGAGAGAGAGAGAGAGAGAGAGAGAGAGATTAAGCTGTCCTGTGAATGAGGACCAGGGAGGGGAAGCAAAGAACCCAGGGAGAGTCCTTCCAAAGGCTGCCTTCATGAGCTTTCCTTCTGACGGGGTTGGGTGAGGACCCTGGACCTTGTCTTCTTGTTTTTTCCCTTTGTGCCTGTTTCGGTCACCATGCGTCCACCCTCCACGGCCACCCCATTGTGCAAGGAAACCCAGAGGGTACACAGCACAGGCAGGGCAGCTGGGAAGCTGGTGAGAAGCTGGCAGGACCTTGGCAGCCTGAGCAACACAGTCCTTGCCAGGAGGTGACTCCCAGGGCACGCCACCCTCTCCCAACACCCAGGCCCCTCTTCTCACCGGCTGTTTCCAGTTCTCCTGTCTCTACCTGGACTCCCTCCTGGTCTCATCTCTGCTCCACTTTCTCTATCCTTTCTCTGGGTCCTTTTTTATTTAAAAAAATTTAATACAATAAATGATAAATTTATTGTATCATTTATTTTATTAAAATGTAAAAGTTTTTTTTTAACAAATCTGTAAGGTATAAAATAAAAATAAAAATACCCTCAAAGCCCATAAGTTATTCATATTTTGATGAACATCTTTCCAGAAACCAATCAATCTCTTCTCTCTCTTCCCAAACACACACACACACACACACACACACAAATACACACACACACAGAGTAGGTTTTGCCTGCATTTTTTCATTAAGTGGTGTGTCAGGAAACCCTGACTTGTTAGTGTTAAACTTTTCTAACATCTGCTTCCCATCCTGCCCTCTCCCTTGACACTGTGGAGGCATTCTAGACTAGGGGGATCAAGCCTGTTGACTTCAGGGATGAGGCACCTCGTGGGCTTCCAAATAGTGGCATGGAGGTGAGGGGGCAGTTAACCTTGTGTCTCATCCTCTTTCCTAGTGGGTCTGTTTGACTCCTCCAGGAACACACAGTGTACACTGGTGACGCACGCCACCTACTGCTTCTAAGTTTAGAGAATCAAAAGTTACCGAGGACTTTGTGCGCCATATGGGAAGAACAAGGACTCTTAAATCCACGATTTGCAGATGAAGACATGAAACAAGAGGGGATAGGGGCCAGGATTGGGAGCAGGAGGAGTAATTTATGAGCGACATTGTTTAGAATTGCTATCACCTGATGATAGTAAGAAGGAAACTAATGTTTAGCTAATATTATTGTTTTAAAATTCTCTCCGATGCGCCCTCTCGTTGTCTGCCCCTGGAGGGGATCATTCTCATGGCCTGCCCAGTGGTACACCCCTGACACCAAGGCCCAAAGAAGTTAGTGGCTGCCAAAGGCCAGACAGTGGCTGACAGCGGGCGCCAATCATATCTGTCTGGTGTCAAAGCCTGGGTTTCCAGTGACGCTGCTGTTCCGCCTTTAGTTCAGTGGCTGTCAACCAGCATTGATCCTTTCTCCTGCCCTCACCCTGCCCCACAACAGGGGACCTTTGGCAAAGTACAGAGACATTTTTTGCCGTCCCAAATGGAGACAGTCTTACTGGCATCTCACAGGTGGAAGCCAGCGGTGCTCTAAGCATCCTGCAGTACACAGCCCCCACAACAAAGAATCATTTAATGCAAAATGTCAGTGTGCCGAGGCTGAGTAACCCTGCCTTGCCAGTAGGGAGGTGCCCTGGGTTGCTTGTGGGATGCTGAAAAAGATGTATTTCTTGTGGCTGATAACACAACCCCGACAAAGAATTTCTAAGTCTTCCTGCAATGTTTCGTGCAAATAATCCATACGCTCTTCTGGGTGATGAGAAGCAGGGATTGTGTACAGGTGCATCTGTTCTTCCGCAGCGTTGTCAGAGTTAAACTCAGATCAATGCTATTGATTCCTTTAATAAGCATTTGCAAAGATGGCCGGGCGCGGTGGCTCACACCTGTAATCCCAGCACTTTGGGAGGCCAAGACAGGTGGATAATCAGGCTAGGAGATGGAGACCATCCTGGCCAACATGGTGAAATCCCGTCTCTACTAAAAATACAAAAGTTAGCTGGGCGTGATGGCACTTGTCTGTAATCCCAGTTACTCAGGAGACTGAGGCAGGAGAATTGCTTGAACCCAGGAGGCAGAGGCTGCAGTGAGCCTAGATCGCACCACTGCACTCCAGCCTGGGGACAGAGCAAGACTCTGTCTAAAAAATAAATAAATAAATAAATAAATAAATAAATAAGCATTTGTAAAGATATCGTAAGTGTTAAACCTGTTCTGGATGCCGAGGACAGTGATCTACAAATACAGCAGGTTCTTGAATAATGTCGATTCATTCAACATCATTTCATTATAATGTTGATGGGAGGAGGAGGGGAAAGGAAGGATCCCTTGAGCCCAGGAGGAGGAGGCTGCAGTGAGCTGTGATTGTGCCACAGCACTCCCACCTGGACAACAAAGCGAGACCCTGTCTCAAAAAAAAAAAAAAAAAAAAGAGCGAGAGAGAAAGAAAAGAAAATGATTGCCAGCTGGGGCCACTGTCTGTGTGGAGTTTGCACGTTATCCTCGTTGTCTGCATTGGTTTTCTCCAGCTACTGTTGTTTCCTTCCACATCCCAAACCTGTGCACGTTAGGTGAATTAGAGTGTCTGCAGGCTCCCCATCTGAATGAGTGTGGGTGTGCGTTCATTGTGCATTCTGCAATGGGATGGCATCTTATCCAGGGCTGGTATCTACCTTGTACCCTGAGCTGCCAGGACAGGCTCTGGCCACCCAAGACCCTGACCTGCCGTAACTGGATAATTATCTAACTTGTTTCTATTAATGTTTCTTAAGCATATGTATAGCTCACATTCCTTTCCGTGTTTAATATTGGAAGTGTTTTGGTCCTTATTTAGGATCTCCGTGATGTTTTTGTGACCAGAAATATGCTATAGAAATTTAACTGTTGTTTCTAGCAATTTGCCTATGGGAATATTGGCTTACGTTGTTTCGCTTACACATTGCAGTTTCCAAAAACCAATCAACGATGTTAAGTGAGGACTCACTGTGCTGTTTGTGCTCTCGAGTCACGCACTGGTTGTGGTGGTAGAAGGACAGTTGAGGAAACAGTGACAACCCCATATGCTAATGGCTGGGGAGGGTACTTAGAAGAAGGGCGCAAACCAGACTGTGGAGGGGGTGCAGGGAGACATCTAAGAAGGAACTCTGAGGTTGGGCGTAGTGGCTCACGCCTGTAATCCCAGCACTTTGGGAGACTGAGGTGGGCGGATCATGAGGTCAAGAGTTCAAGATCAGCCTGACCAACATGGCAAAACCCCGTCTCTACTAAAAATACAAAAATTAGCCTGGTGTGGTGGCGCACGTCTGTAATGCCAACTCCAGAGGCTGAGGCAGGAGAATCACTTGAACCCGGGAGGTGGAGGTTGCAGTGAGCTGAGATCGTGCCGTTGCACTCCAGCCTGGGCAATAGGTTTGAAACTCTGTCTCATAAAAAAAAAAAAAAAAAAAAAAAAGCCAATGAAAGATAAAACAACCTAGGGAGGTGGCTAGTTTTATTATATAATAATTATTATTTTTATTTCAATAGCTTTAGGGGTACATGTAGTTTTTGGTTACATGGATGAATTGTATAGTGGTGAAGTCTGAGATTTTAGTGCACCCATCACCCAAGTAGTGTATGTGGTGCCCAATATGTAGTTTTTCAATCCCTCACTCCCCTCCCACCCTCCCTGCTTCTAAGTCTCCAGTATCCATTCTACCACGCTATATACCTTTGGGTACCCATAGTTTAGCTCCCACTTATAAGTGAGAACATGCAGTATTTGGCTTTCCATTCCTGAGTCACTTCTCTTAGAATAATGGCCTCTTAGGTGGCAAGAGCAAAACTCCATCTTAAAAAAAAAAAAAAAACAAAGTAACAGATATTTTAATCTTCTTTTCCTTCTCCTCTTCTTCCTTTCTTTTCTTCCTCCTCTGTCCCCCTTCCTCTCTTTCTTCTATCCCTTCCTCCTCCTTCTCCTCCTTTTTCCTTTTCTTCCTTGTCCTATTCTTGATCTTTTCTTTTGAGAGGTAGCTAATCCAAGGTTTGAGAAGATCAAAGAACGTGCCTAGAACCACACCTCTGGAAAGGAGGGAGGCAGGGACGAGGGGTGGGAATGGGGCAGGAGTCCTTTGAGGATAGATCCTATGCCTGCCTCCCCAGCCTGACCCCAGAAAGCTGTGCTGACTAGGGCTGGGGAACAGGATGACTTTGAGTGGATTCCCTCTGAGATCGCCACTGTGTCTTGACAATCCACGCCAGCTGCCGTCCGGGGGGTTCCGGGGGTGGGGAGAGTGAGGCGGCCACATGCCGAAGCCTCAGGACTGTCTCTTCAGTTTGTCAGGTGCGCCTACGTCATCATCCTCATGGCCATTTACTGGTGCACAGAAGTCATCCCTCTGGCTGTCACCTCTCTCATGCCTGTCTTGCTTTTCCCACTCTTCCAGATTCTGGACTCCAAGCAGGTAAGCAGACCGAGGGGATCCTGGTGACTTCCTGGTTCTCCCCTTGTCTTTTTCTGTGGTCCTCTCTGTGAGCCGCACAGGCCTGGGGGTGACCGGAAAACCTCCATTGTGGGTTCTCCCTGGCAGGGAGACACCACTCGGGCCTGCATCCCCACTCCAAGCGGTCCCTGAAGTCAGCATCTGGGACTTGGGTGGCTCTAGTGTGTGGCAAGGGGCAGCCCTGATGGGGCCTTCGTGCCACGCTCCAGGTGTGTGTCCAGTACATGAAGGACACCAACATGCTGTTCCTGGGCGGCCTCATCGTGGCCGTGGCTGTGGAGCGCTGGAACCTGCACAAGAGGATAGCCCTGCGCACGCTCCTCTGGGTGGGGGCCAAGCCTGCACAGTAATTACGCCTTCTCTCTCTTGCCGCGTGGCTCTGCATGAGCCCCAGGGCTGCAAGGGGGTGGAGGGTGGCACAGACTGGGCCGCCCACTGGTGAGGGCTGGCCATGGGCTTACCTGGACTTGGCTGGGTGGGACGCATTGTAGCTTTAGCTGGAGAGACCAGATGCACGCGTGGTGGTGGCACACGGTGAGCAGCAGTAAGTAAGGGTCCTCTGAATCCAGAGGAGGTGGGTCAGCAAGAGTCCTTGCAGGCTTGGAAGGCTTCCTGGGGGAGGCAGCTAGCTGCAGGGTTCCACAGGGAACAAATTGGATAGAGGCTGGATCAAGCTGTGTCTGATGGGGTAGGGGAAGCAGGCCAGAAGTGGCTCAACCACCCAGCTCATGGGGAAACAGAAAGGTCCTCTCTCCAAGCTGGAGCATCTATTCCCACTGCAAAGAAGCTTCTTAACTTATCTCCCTGACATCACTCAGTACCCCAGCTTCTCTCTCCATTTTCAAGATCTCCCCTGCCAATCTAGCTGGCCATTTCCAGCCAAGCCATGGAGTCAATATAACCATAATCATAGCCATAATCAATCATGATCATAATGCATATATTGAGTGTCTACAAGGCCCCAGGCATGATGCCAGAAGCTTATTCATTGCCTCATTTAATTCTCACAACTCTGACAGCTGAGTATTCTTCTTACCGCCCACATTCTGTGGATGAGGAATTGGAGGCAGAGAGGGGTAAAGTGATTTGCTCATGGACACACGGGGATTGGACCCAGCTTCTCTGATAAGGTCTGTGTCCTCTCTAATTAGAAACTCAGGGCACATCTTCCTTTTGAGGCAATGTGTCCCCTCAATGATGCCATGTCCCAGGCCCAGCCCTTGGGAGTCAGCTCCTGGTCAGTTCACGGTAAATTCCTCCTGAGGCGCCCCTGTGCCGGGGGCTGCGCTAGACCCCGAGCACACACAGACACTGGCCTGCCCTGCGGGCGACCCATGCCCGGGGCTCCCTGGGTGTCTCAGACTCCCCTGAGCAGGGGGCTTTGTGGCTCTCTGATCTCTGTTACACATCCTGGCATTGATTCCTTCTAGTGACTGGTTTAGCGTCAAATCGAAAGCCATCGTATTTTCTAGAAACGAGAGACCCCAGGAAAGTGGACCTCGGGGCCCTCAGAATTCTTTTTCTTGGCCCCCTTGAGTGGCCAGCTTGGGTGGGAGGCCACTCCAGTGGGGTTCATTCTGGAGCACGTTGGAGAGCTTCTACTTCCAAACCCAAGTTCATACATGCTTCTCTCTCCTTCCTGCCACCCGGCTCCTCTGAGCACGGTCTCCAGTTGTCCAAGGCACTGGCTGTCCTGCGGGTCACCTGTATGTGAGGCACCCTTGGTGCCTTGAAATAGCATGTAGAAGCCTTGGTTCTTCTAAGACAACTCCATTCATGCAAACTCTCCCCCTCCTCCTAGCCTGGGTCCCAGACTTTTTTTTTTTTTTTTATGGGTCCATAATGTCCGCCTGTGAGGACAGCAGCTTGGGCCCTGGTGCAGAACAGCTTCTAGGTCCCTTCTTCAGGCTCCTATCCCTGCCCCTGCTCCTACCCCCTGGTGAACTAGGAGCCCTGAGGAGGAGCCTGGCTGCAACAGGGCCCGCAGGCTGAGAGTAGTCAAGCTCCTTCTGCCCCCTAGCCTTGGACAGCTGGGGCGTGTGGAACCACAGAGCAGAGTCAGGCCCTGCCCTACTCACAGCCTAAGGAGAGAGCAGACGTGGAAACAGGTGCTTTGAACCCAGCGCAGCGATGATGAGAGTAAGCGGGAGGATTGAGAACGGCCAGACCAGCCCCACCTGGTGCACACTGAGAGGGTGGTCCCGGGCGAGGGACATTGCTTGGGCAGGCTCTGAAGGACCATGAGGAGTCTTCCTGATAGACGGCAGAGAAGGGAGCAGGGGTTATAAGCAAAGGGAGTGTATTTTCTGAATACTGTTTGTGTGATCAGTTCCACTGCAGCATGGAGGGGTCAAAGTGTATATGCGGGGGCGGAGGGGAGATGGTGGGGACGGAGTGGCAGCGGGAGAAGAGTCACACTTTCCCAAGCTCCCTCCCCAGCTCACCTTACCCCTACTCTGCTTAGCCCTTCTGAACTTCTGAGAGGTGAGGCAGGGTTTGGGAGTGGGTGGGAATTTCCTAGCCAGAAGTGGGAAGCTGGGGCTGCCTGCACGTAGGGGTATTCCGGCATACCCCAGGGCAAGCTCATATTGAGTTGGCACCATCTGGATGCCTGGGCTTCCCCTGCTAGATGGTGGGGCAGGGGTGCTCCTTAGAACCACGACTGGATCTGAGGCCTCTTGGTAACCCCAGAAGCAAGCAGAGTAGACATCAGGAATGTGTGTGGGAGAGGCGGGAGGGAGAGAGGAATGGAGGAGGCAAAGAAGGGAAGGAGGGAGGGAAGGAGGGGAGGCTCTCAAACTGTCATCCCTATTCGAATATCCGATCTTGAATTGGCCTCAACACCTGTGCATCCCTGCAGGGCTGGACCCAGTCCCCAGCTGCTTCCCAGGAAGTATGGGGGTGGGGTGGGGATTCTCTGGCTTTCCTCCCTGCCCCTCCTCTGCAGGTTGATGCTGGGCTTTATGGGCGTCACCGCCTTCCTGTCCATGTGGATCAGTAACACGGCAACCACGGCCATGATGGTGCCCATTGTGGAGGCCATATTGCAGCAGATGGAAGCCACAAGCGCAGCCACCGAGGCCGGCCTGGAGCTGGTGGACAAGGGCAAGGCCAGTGAGCTGCCAGGTAAGCCCCTGGCCAGGGCACTGCCAGGCCACAACAGCAGCCTTCCCCTCCCTCTGCTGGCACATGCTTTGGCCACCCCCTTCTCCCTGTCTGCTTCCTGGAACCCTCCTTTAAACACGCATAGAGAAAAAAAAAAAAAGAAACTACTGTTGTCGTAAGTTTTAGGAAGGGGATTATTGCATAAAAGTTAGATCCTTTAATAGAGCTTTAAACAAAGTCCCACCCTCGGTTCCCATCAGTTGCAGAAATCAGTGCGTTCACCTGATTATTCATTCGGGCATCTTGCGAGCACTTACGGGTGCCCCTCACTCCTTGCTACTCCTGCTCATCCTCAAGGAGGCCTTCTCTGACCTCCTCGAGCAGCTCAAATCCTTCCGCTCTCTGCTCCCATAGGTCTTGGACTTGGTGTCCCATGCTTGCTTCTCTGCTAGGTGCCAAGCTGAGGGAGGCAAGTCAGCATCTGCCATGCTGTCTGCCATGTCCCCTTACCATCCCCAGCCCAGAGCAGTAGACTCAGGGTCTGTGGCTGACGGCCTGATTGCCAGACCCAGGGCAAGGTCCTGGGGCTTACAGAGAGGAATTGGGCACATCCCTGCCAACAACTCTTATGGAGCCCAGTGGGGCAGCTAAATCAGCAGAGCTGGGATCTCCCAATCCTCAGGTCAGCAGCAGAGTCAGGAGCCGGGGCTGGGCAGGCAGCCCCCAAGACCGGCTCAGCTGACAGCGCTGTGCCCACCACAGGGAGCCAAGTGGTTTTTGAAGGCCCCGCTCTGGGGCAGCAGGAGGACCAAGACTGGAATAGGTTGTGCAAGGCCATGACCCTGTGCATCTGCTACGCGGCCAGCATCGGGGGAACTGCCACCCTGACTGGGACGGGACCCAACGTGGTGCTCCTGGGCCAGATGAACGAGTGAGTCCTTGGTCACACCTTCTGGGGACTACAAAGTGGGTACCGGGGCTGGAGGGACCTGCCCATCTCTCTCTGCTCCTCCGCAGAGTCCTGGAGCTCGGGGCAGCCAGACCTGGCCTGGGAGCCTGGCAGGGGTGGAAAGATGTGGCCCCATCCAGCCTCTGTGTCCTGGCACCCCTACTGATGCCAGGGGAGCCAACATCCAAGTCTGCTTTCTGCTATGACGCAAGACCCACCACCTCCCCTGGGCTCAGGGATTCTGGCTCAGAGAGCGAGTGTGGATCGAACGCTGAGCTAAAGGCATGGCAGATGACAATGTACTTCCAGACGCTGGGTCCTTGGTTGAAACTTGTAGAAAACAGACACCTCTAAAAGACTCCCCACCACTCCCTTGGCTCACTGCCTTTGGTGGCTAATGGTGATGGTGCCGTGATATCTGAGGTCTACAGATGGTATGAAGGGCTGGGGTTGGGTCGTTCACTGCCTCACTGCTTCCTTATAGTCCCACTGATTGCCTTTGAGGTGACAGGTCCCCTTGTGAGGTGTACAGGTGAACCATGGGGTGGTTTGGAACTTTCTAGCCTTGGCCACAAAGGGATGCAGGCCATGAGGACCCCATTTCTGTGCCTGGCCTTCTGCTGGGTGGGGCCGGGATCACAAGAGGGAGAGAAACCTGGACCCTGCCGCGCGGTAGTCATGGTCTGTTGAGGGTAGCAAGGTGCCTGGGGCTTCCAGGCACGTCTGGTAAATAAACGTATTAATTGAGGTATGTACTAATTGCAGTGGGCAGGAACAAAAATAAGGTGGTGCCATCCTTTGTAGACAGGAGCCTGGACAGGAGTGGGGAGGGCAGTGGGTGCAGGAGCTGAGAGGTGGAAAGGACAGGTCTGGAGCCTGGCTGGGCAGAAACTTGAGGTTCAACAACCCGTTTGTTTTAATTTCGGGAGTGTTTTCTGTAATGATATCCTTACAGTTCTCCAGTAACTTTCTTTGGGAAGAGCAGCCTGTCTGGGCTGAGTGGGGAAAGTTCTGCGTCTGCTTTGACATTGTTGAGCTAAAAGAGGCAGCCCCTGGGGCTAACAGAGCCCCAGGGATGGGAGATGGGGCCTGCGGCGGAAGTGGCCCTCCTCCAGCCTCCACTCTGGGAAGCTTTTGAGATTTGCTTTGCTAAGTCAGGGGACCATCCTTTGCAGAAACCCACAGGATGAGATTGCTGAGGGCTCTGTGGATCCCCAGAGCTATCAGTCAAATTACACGCATGTGTATAAAAGGTGTATTTTTCTTTTCTTTTTCTTTCTTTTTTTTTTTTTTTTTTTGAGACAGAGTCTCGCTTTGTTGCCCAGGCTGGAGTGCAGTGGCTCGATCTTGGCTCACTGCAACCTCTGCCTCCCGGGTTCAAGCGATTCTCCTGCTTCAGCCTCCCAAGTAGCTGGGATTACAGGCGCCCGCCACCACGCCTGGGTAATTTTTGTATTATTAGTGGAGACAGGGTTTCACCATGTTGGCCAGGCTAGTCTCAAACTCCTGACCTTATGATCCACCTACCTCGGCCTCCCAGAGTCCTGGAATTACCGGTGTGAGCCTCTGCGCCGGCCACAGGCTAGACCCCAGGAGGACATGGCCCCCACACAGGCCCACCGCTCAGGGCCCAGCTGCTGCTCCACCCCCACGCACAGGGCCAGGCTGGCTTGCCACGGCTCAGCATCTGAGGTGGGGACCGGTGTCTCCTTGCAGGTTGTTTCCCGACAGCAAGGACCTCGTGAACTTTGCCTCCTGGTTTGCATTTGCCTTTCCCAATATGCTGGTGATGCTGCTGTTCGCCTGGCTGTGGCTCCAGTTTGCTTACATGAGATTCAAGTAAGTTTGAGCCGCTCACGGCCTCATTATACCTAATTATGCCTCCAAGCTGCAGAAGAGCCTTCAGACTCAATAGGCGGGTTTACAAAGTCCTCCGCGTCTGACCCTGATCTTTCTCCAGCCCCGTCTCCTGCTAGTCTGCCCTCTTGTTCCTTCCACCCCAGGCTGCTGGCTGAGCTTTGCGCACACGTGGTCCCGTCTTCCTGGAATGCCATTCTCTACCTTCCCACCTCCTCAGCCTTCGAGGCTAGCTCAAATGCTGCTTCCCTGACTTTCCCTCCAACCCCCATTCCATCTCTGAGTGGCCCCTGGGCATATCACAGTCCTGTCCTTTAGTATCTGCGTTTGGGTTCCAGTGACTTTGAATTCCTCCAGAGCCACTCTGATGCCAGACACCCCACACAGCTCCCAGCACAGGGAACAAGAGCAGGCAGGTTAAAGCAGTTAAAGATAAGCTGGTCCCCACGTGCCAGTTCGACATTGCTGGATGAGCTTCCTCTTGGCCGTGTGGGTTCATCAGGCCAGGTCACGGCAAACCTGTGACTTAGCTCTGAGCTAAGCGCATATGCTCTGTGCCTCAATGCACGGGAAGTTTAAGTCGAGTAAAACCAGGAGTGATTACAACCGAATCCATCCAAACCCAGACATTTACGGAGTACGTCTGATGTTCCCAGTAGTGTACAGGTCCTAGAAAGTTTACCTTCCTGTTCCTAGCACACAAGCAGGTTCATCAGGGGTCACCTTTGATGGCAGCCAGACTTTGGACAGAAACCATGACCTGTGGCTGACAAATAGCTAAAAAGAAAAGTGATTGTTTTTCTAAAACACACAAATTTATCTGTGGTGCAAAGGTGATGAGACCACAGCAGGATGGAAAGTACTCAGCTCTGAGTTAAGTGCATGTGCTCTGTGCCTCCGTCTACAGGGAGTTCGAGTCAAGTCAAACCAGGGGAATGTGTGACCAGAGGGAAGAGACTCCAAAGCTGCGAGGCAAAAGTGCCCACGGAAACCCGTGATTTCACGGGGAAAATAGGGAATTTTCCTAAGTTTTCTTCTGAAGGAGGAACTGTTCTGAAAACTCCTATTAAAAAGTTGCTATACAGGCCGGGCGCGATGGCTCACACCTGTAATCCCAACATTTTGGGAGGCCGAGGTGGGCAGATCGCCTGAGGTCAGGAGTTTGTAACCAGCCTGGCCAACATGGTGAAACCCCGTCTCTACTAAAAATACAAAAATTAGCCGGGCGTGGTAGCCCACGCCTGTAATCCCAGCACTTTGGGAGGCCGAGGCGGGCGGATCACCTGAGGTCAGGAGCTCAAGACCAGCCTGGCCAACATGGTGAAACCCTGTCTCTACTAAAAATACAAAAGTTAGCTGGGCGTGGTGGTGCACGCCTGTAACCCCAGCTACTCGGGACGCTGAGGCAGGAGAATTGCTTGAAGCCGGGAGGTGGAGGTTGCAGTGAGCCAAGATCATGCCACTGCACTCCAGCCTGGGCGACAGAGCAAGACTGTCTCAAAAAAAAAAAAAAAAAAAAGTTGCTATACACATTCAAAACAATCATAATAATGATAGTAAGAATAACAATATTAATGATCATTGCCCAAACCCCACTCTGTCCTGCCCATGGACGGGACAGGGGAAACTGTTTTCATGGCTGCCTGGCCACCCAGTTTGACTTTGACAGTAGCTGTCTTTGCCCTGCCTCTTGCATGTGCACCAGGGCCAAAGTCCTGTTCATTTGCTCGCATCCATCAAACAGGTCGCTCAGGAGATGGTCCTGGACCTGCTGCAGGTGACCATGTGTGTCTTCTCATGGGGCAATAGAAATAATAATGACCAACATTTATTGAGTGCTCATCATGTACCAGACACAATTTCGAGTGCTCTTTTTCTTTCTTTTCTTTTCTTTTTTTTTTGAGACAGAGTCTTGCTCTGTCGCCCAGGCTGGAGTGCAGTGGTGCAATCTCAGCTCGCTGCAACCTCCACCTCCTGGGTTCAAGCAATTCCCCCTGCCTCAGCCACCCAAGTAGCTGGAATTACAGGAACCCACCACCACGCCTGGCTAATTTTTGTATTTTTTAGTAGAGACGGGGTTTTGCCATGTTGACCAGGCTGGTCTTGAACTCCTAACCTCAGGTGATCTGCCCTCCTTGGCCTCCCAAATTGCTGGCATTACAGATGTGAGCCACCTCGCCTGGCCCAAGCACTCTTAAACTTAATTTTCACAACAACCTGTGAGGTCAGCACTATTATTATTATTCCCAATTTACAGACAAGGCCGCTGAGGCATGGAGAGGTTATGTAGTCGACACAGGGGTGTGTCACAGGGAAGCAGGGGGACTGAGACTTAAACCCAGGCATTTTGGCTTCCACTGCGCATGGCATCTGCTTTTGGGGAGGCTGAGGGTTGCTGCCCTTAGTTGCCTCCAGACCTAAGCATCACCAGGTGTCGCAAGCACTAGTTGGGGCCCGAGGTTGCCCTAGAACCCCAAGGCCTGCTGAGAAAGAGGAGGGAGACAGCATGGCGCTGGGGCCAAAAGGGCACCATCCGCTTCTTGTCTGGCCAGAGGTGGATGTCAGGCCCCTGGAGACTCGCAGCCAAGAACCTGAAGCTGAGTCCACCCAGCCTGGCACGGCCTTTCTCAGCTCTCGTTAACTGGCAGGGGAGCCTGAGAGTGTCTGCACAGGGGTCTTCTGAGCATGCTCATGGTGGGGTGTGTGGCTGCAGTCCAGTCCCACCCCTTCCCGACGGGCCACTCTGGTTTGGATGCACACAGTGTGGCTGGCCGTGGTGGCTCACAGGAGCTTTGTTTTGGTTCCAGATCTGGAAGGTAGAGGACAGCTTTTACATTCGGTTTGAGTAATGGGAGCAGTGCTCTGGCCCAGGCCACGTCCTGCCACAAACTAGGACCTGGTAGTCCCTGCCTGCCTTTGTGGCCTCATGGGCCTCCCCACCTGAGCCCAGGGAGCACCTGTCTCAGCTGCAGGAAGCAGCTCCACTGTCGCCTCTGCCCTCACTTGAGTTCCTCATCTGAACGATCGTGGAGAACGGGGTTAAGGTCTCGGCCTCTAGCCTAATCCAGAAAAACTATCTTGCTGAGGAGCCTCGCGTAGCCTCGTAGGCTGTATGTAGCCAAAAGGGCCAGACCCCGCTCCAGGTCCCCCAAGAACTACATGGGATATTATTACTGGTTATATGTAACTGTCCCAACCAGGCTCACCTCCTGTAATAGTGATGAGGGTTCTTTGGGACCCCTGCCAGGGCGGAGGCATGCAAAGCTCAAGGATCTTTCCCCTCTTCTTGGCTCTGCAGCACATTCAGTCCAAGTTTCCCATGGTGCATCATGGTGAAGGCTGTTCTGCTGCAGGACACTGTGGTCCCCACCCCCTGACCCTGACCTAGGCCCCTCACAGGCCAACTGGACCAGTTTACTTGCATCTCATGCCAGCCTAGTCATCAGCAGATGAAATTAACCCAGAGATGAGAGCAAAGCTGCTTAGCACGAGAGACTCTGAAGGCTTAGCGGTACCACTGTGGGGCACCAGCACTGGACGGTTACATACTCCATGCAGCCCCTGAATCTGCAGCTACTGTGGTGCTGGGGATGAGCCGCCAGCACCAAATGCAGGCTCTGGCTCCTGGGCCACTAGTAATACCAAGGTCACCCCTTATGCTGGAAACCTGAAGCCCCTGGCTGAGCCCCAGAATCTCTAGGACGACAGGTGGCAGCAGATAGGTGCTTAGTAGAGCACAAACTTTACCAAGCCAAGGGCGTGACCGCAGAGAGGCCCCGTCTTACACAGCGGAGCCATCCCCATGCCCGATGTCGGGAGAGTGTCCCTAGCGGGTGGCCCTCAGGACACACAGCCTTGCCCCCTTGCCCAGCGGGGAAATGATAGCCAACGGTGCAGACCTGAGATCCCATCAGTGTTGTTGCCTCCTTTTCTGACCCCTGAGCACCCCCAGAAAGCTGTGACCTGATGTCCTGGTGCCCCCATGTACCAGGCCAAGCCACCATCACACCAACACTTGGCCCTCACACTCTCCAAGGCTGTTCACATCCAGCACTGGCTCCAGGAATGAGATCCTATTCCATCAATCCCTGCCTTCCTCTGATTATGTCTCAGGGCCCCCAGGAGGGCTCTCACAAGGGAGGGCTCTCACAAGGGAGGGCTCTCCAGGACAATACTCCTGGCCTTGCCCACCCCTTCAAACCAACAGTGGCTGGAACTGGAATGTGTGAATGGACTCTTCAGCATACCTTAAGGCCTTTGTCCTGTGCACAGTGGCCCCAGTTATCCCCTGTCCACAGCTGAGCTTCCCTCTACACCTCCTCCAAGAACCTCCTCTCCTCCCTGCCTCCTCATGCCAACACCACCTTAGGGAAGGCCCTGCAGGGCACCCTGGACAATGGATACTGGTCCCAAGGGTCCCATCCAGGATGGGAGCACCCATCCTGGGCTGGCTTCCTTCCTGCCCTAGCCATGCCTGCTGCTAACCCCAGGGTCTCCTGGATCCCTAATCCTGCACCTCCAGCTCCAGGGAACACAAGGACCATTCTGCCCCTGACTAGCCCTGTCTGCCAGGGTTCATACTCACTCCCTGCATCTCCCTGAGCCACCTTGGTGATGGCGGTTGGCATCCCAACACCATCGAAGGCAGCTCCAGGCTGAGGTGGAAGGAGGAAGACTTGGGGAGCGTGTGAGGGAGCCCTGATCCCACCTTGCACAGGCTCTGGAACTTCTTATGGCCTTCCCCCAGGTGACCCTGGAGCAGCCAGTCTCCAGGTGGCTGGGCACCTGCCAAGACCCTCTAGGCTCTCTACAGAGACTTTTCCCTACTACATTCTGGGATGGAGGAACGGGAGGAGGAAAGACGCAGGAAGGGCCTTTCTCCAGGCCCCATAGCCGACGAGGACAGCATTATGTGTCTTTTTGCTACATTCTGCTGTAGAACATTTAGGCTCCATCTGACCAGCACCTGAGCCAACCAGTCTGCCCTGCCCTTCTCTCATCTTTGCATTCTCCAGTTTTAAAAAGTCCTGGGGCTGCGGGCTAGAGAGCAAGAAAAACGAGAAGGCTGCCCTCAAGGTGCTGCAGGAGGAATACCGGAAGCTGGGGCCCTTGTCCTTCGCGGAGATCAACGTCCTGATCTGCTTCTTCCTGCTGGTCGTCCTGTGGTTCTCCCGAGACCCCGGCTTCATGCCCGGCTGGCTGACTGTCGCCTGGGTGGAGGGTGAGACAAAGTAAGTCTTTGATTCAATAGAAATCACTGGCTTAGGGCCAGGCGCGGTGGCTCACACCTGTAATCCCAGCACTTTGGGAGGCCGAGGTGGGTGGGTCACCTGAGGTCAGGAGATCGAGACCATCCTGGCTAACAAGGTGATATCCCATCTCTACTAAAAATACAAAAAATTAGCCAGGCGTGGTGGCAGGTGCCTGTAGTCCCAGCTACTCAGGAGGCTGAGGCAAGAGAATCGCTTGAACCCAGGAGGCGGAGGTTGCAGTGAGCCGAGATCATGGCATTGCACTCCAGCCTGGGCGACACAGACAGACTCTGTCTCAAAAAAATAAATAAATAAAAATAAATTTTTTTTAAAAACCCACATCACTGGCTTAGTGCACTGGTGCCTAAATACTGCTGTTCTCGGCTACAGGTGGCAAGAGGAATGTGGCCCAGGCACTCTTGCTTGGTCAAGACTTCTCCTTTTTTGAGAGCTGGGTTTCAGAGAGCACTTTGTGGTTTCATGACTTATTTTTGTTTTCTGACCAAGCTTCACAATAAGACCCCAAATGTGTTCCTGTGATATCCTCTCCTCCCTGAGTAGGCTGAGCAGAAAATCCTTGGCCAGGCAGGGGTGTCCAGAGCTGTGATGTGAGAGATTTCTTGGACTGGGAGTAGGGCTCCCAGAGCTCTGGTTTCCAAATCTCTGCTCTGCCATCTTCCCTTTCTTATCTTCACATCTGGTCAAATCCCTTCAAAGACACACATCTAGGGAGCTTCATAGACAGAGACTTGGCAAAGGGGGTACATGTGGTTTCTTTCCTGGCTAAGACATTGTCAGAATGTAAGAAAGGATGAGAAACATGTACATCCTAGAAAAGGCAGAAGATGTGGGCAGGGAGATGCTGCCTATGATGGCCATTTCGTTTGGAAGGTAGGCTTGGGTCAGCACCAAAGTCTTCGTGGTCATCCTGGTGAACCCAGAATTCTGGAGAACCTGGTCAAGAAGAGGTCCTGAAATACACCTATGGAGAATGCATGCTGAGAGGGGGAATTAGGCTGCTTAGAATCACCCAAAGTTGGTGGTCAAGAGTATGGGCATTTTGATTTCCAGTCAGGATTCAGTCTACCACATCACTCTTATCTTTTTTTTTTTTATTTTTTTTGAGACAGAGTCTCACACTGTCACCCAGGCTGGAATGCAATAGCATGATCTCGACTCACAGCAACCTCCGCCTCCTGGCAATTCTCCTGCCTCAGCCTCCCGAGTAGCTGGAATTACAGGCGCCCGTCACCACATCCTGCTACTTTTTTGTATTTTTAGTAGAGACGGGGTTTCACTATGTTGGCCAGGCTGGTCTTGAACTCCTGACCTCGTGATCCACCAGCCTCAGCCTCCCAAAGTGCTGGGATTACAGGTGTGAGCCACTGCGCCCAGCCACCACTCTTAACCTTGACTTTTAGGTCTATGTGAGCCTGTTTCTTTGCATAGGAGCATTTGGACACAGAACTGCCAGAGTTCGGATGGGTTTGTTGAGTGACTGTCTCTGCAGCACCTGAACTGTGCTCTTCTCCACCTAGGTATGTCTCCGATGCCACTGTGGCCATCTTTGTGGCCACCCTGCTATTCATTGTGCCTTCACAGAAGCCCAAGTTTAACTTCTGCAACCAGACTGAGGAAGGTAAGTCTCCTGTTCTGATGGCCCAGTCATCGGGACTGGAGCCCTGGAAGCAAAGGGTCATTATGGGATTCCCTGGGCCCTAGAAGGAGACAGTGCCTCCCAGATAAAGCCTGGGAGACAGTGGCTTTCAAGCTACTGGTGGTATTATTTAGTGCAAAATCTCTTTTTTGCTTTTTAACATTTGAATTTAACATTTGAAATTTTATCTATATTACAACAGGAACCGAAAATGTTTCAAATTTTCCATAACACTGATTTCCATTCAGCAATTTTTTGTTTTCTCTCTTCCTCTCAGTCTTTGCTAATATGCCTATCTATTACATTATAATCAAAACACACACCGTTTGAATCCTATTTCTTTGTTTTTTCTTCTTCCGCTTTTGATTGATATTACACTATAAACACTGTCTACTATTGCTACAGTCTTCAAATATATTTTCTCTAATAATGGCATTATATTGCACTGAGGGGTTGCAATCATTCTGCTGTTATAGAACATTTTGGCTGTTTTGAATTTATTTTCATAAATTAATGTTTTCTTCTCTATAGCTTTTCGTTTAAGGGTATTTTTTCTTTAGGATAAACTTCTAGGAGTAACATTGCTGGGGTGATAGAATATAAAGTCTTAATGGCCCTTAAAATGTATGGCCAAATTGCTTCTCAAAAAGGTTATACCAATTTATGATGCTATTAGGAAAGTGTGTAATAGTTTCACCATATCCTCACCAGCAATGTATATATTATTGTAAACTTTAGCTAATTTATAGGTAGGAGATGGTACCTCATTGTCCTTAACGGCTTTATTCCCCCTTGATTAGATTTCTTTTGTCTCCTAATGATGCTCTGGTGTGTGTGTGTGTGTGTGTGTGTGTGTGTGTGTGTGTGTGTGTTTATTTTTCTTCCCAGAAAGGAAAACTCCATTTTATCCCCCTCCCCTGCTGGACTGGAAGGTAACCCAGGAGAAAGTGCCCTGGGGCATCGTGCTGCTACTAGGGGGCGGATTTGCTCTGGCTAAAGGATCCGAGGTAACTTCTCCAGCCACAGGCTGCCCAGAGCCCTCTTCTTGGTCAAGAGGGTGGCGTTTCTTCTCCCTTCCGTCCATGGGCTTGTGTGTTTCTATGCCTACATCCTTCGTACAATCGCACGTTCTTTGAGGACATGGGCTCTGTCTTGTAATCTAGGAACTCTACACCACACATAGGGCCTGGAAGACAGAAAGTAACCTTTGAGCGATTGCAGGAATGAGGGAATGAGTGACCGTGGTTAGCCAAGAGAGGCAGAGGACACTGTCAGGTACCCTCTGGGGTTTGATCACCATAATCTCTGCTTTGATTTGTCTGAGGGAAATCTTTCTTTCCAGTCCTTGTCAATATTGTTTGCTACTACCTTTGGTCCTTCTACTGGCTGAACTCTTTGTTAACATGGTAGCTACTTCAAAATTTTTCTTTAGCTAAGTATGTAGCAGCACAGGAAGAGAAGAACATGTTGGAAAATACACAAAAATATAACTTTCTTTACCTCCTTCTATCCCTCCTGGGGATAGAAATGAACCAGAAGGAGAGATGAGCCAGCTTGCTGCTGCTGTCCTCCAACCAACCATCTATTCGCCCAGCCATCCAGGAGTGTAATAGACAGACTTGGTCTTGTTATTGCTGTTTCTTCAATATCTAGGACACAGCCTGGTGCCTAGTGGGTGCTAAGTTTTTGTGGGGGTGAACAAATCCATCTATCTAGTCACCTCTCCATCCATTCATCCATGCATCTATTCATGTCTTCATCCATCCATCCATCCATCCAACCATCCATCCATCCGTCTGTCCATCCATCCATCCATCTATCCATCCATCCACTCATTCAACCATCCATCCATCCACCCATCTATCCATCCATCCATCCATCCATCCATCCATCCATCCATCCATCCACCCATCTATCCATCCACCCATTCAACCATCCATCCATCCACCCATCTATCCATCCATCCATCCATCCATCCATCCATCCATCCATCCAACATTCCTATTATGTCTCTAGAGTTAGGCCAGGCACAGAGATTACAGAGGAGATTGAGATATGGTCCCTGTTAGTGACAGACTTCACAGACTAGGGAGGGGCACATATGTGGAAAGGCATTTCAGGAAGTGGCACACAGGTGAGGGAAAAATGTGAGGTATTTAGCTGAGGAGAAGTAGAAGAGGAGGCTGGTGAGGCTACCAGAAACCACTTCTCTGAGGGCCCCAAGATAGGGGGGTGTGGACTTGATTGTGAAGGCAGTAGACAGCCACTGAAGGACTGAGGCCAGGGGGTGAGTTGGTCAGATCTGCACTTGAGGAAATCACTCTGATGTCTGGAGTGGGGGCCTGGGATGGGCAGGGCTTGGAGGAGAGCTAGCGGAGACTCTGCAGCCTTCATCTCACTCAAGCTCAGAACTTTGGACTCTGTGGACTTTCTCTCCTCCTCTGGCCCCCAGCTCAGCACAGTCTCCAGCTTTACTTCGGACTCAGACTCTTCCTGCTCAGCCTTCATTGCTGACTTCTCCTCTGTTCTCCCCGAAATAAGAGCGTCTGCCCAGGCTCTGTCCTTGGCCTCTCCTCTTTTCACACTTCATTCTCTCCCTGGACAATCTCTTCTCAGCCTAAAGCCCTAAATCTAAACCCTCAATTTCTGGCTGAAATCATTCTTCTGAGCTTCCAAAACTGTGGAGGGCTGAGGAGGAGATGGATGTGAGACATTTGGGTGACTTGGTGACTGACTAGGTTTAAGGAAGGAGGGGAACAGAGACCAGCAGCATGACTCCCAGCCTACTGGGCTGGATGGCTGGTGGATGGTGAGTCCTTTCACCAGACTGGGAGGCCCAGAGAAAGAAGCAGATTCCGGTCTATGGAGGATGAATGCCGGGTGGAGCATTTGAGTCTATTGTGCTCTTGGGACATCTGGGTGGACACTTCCAGAAGGCGTAGGGGTATGTAAATCCACATAGTAGGCCAGCTGGCTGGAAATACAGATTTAGGAGACAGCAGAGTGAGGATGGGAATGAAAATGGTGGGAATGGATGAGGTCACCTATGAGGTGTAGAGAAACAGGGTGGGGAGGGGAGGACGGGCCAAGCTTGCTCTGGCCCTGAAGGAACTGCAAGCTGGGAGCCCTCAGATGACTGCCCTCCTGGTGCTTCCCAGGCCTCGGGGCTGTCCGTGTGGATGGGGAAGCAGATGGAGCCCTTGCATGCAGTGCCCGCAGCAGCCATCACCTTGATCTTATCCTTGCTTGTTGCTGTGTTCACTGAGTGCACAAGCAACGTGGCCACCACCACCTTGTTCCTGCCCATCTTTGCCTCCATGGTAAGTAACCTGATGGTGGGGAGGGGCCCTTCCACTTCACAGGAAGCCGCCAACCCATGGCCATGTTGTGGATCCCTGACGAGGCAGCGATATCCAGGCCAGAGTCAGACCAGGCTTTGGAGACCTGGGTCTGGCTGTGACATGGATTTGTGCACCCTGGATGCCTCTGCCCCTGAGGCCTCTGCTGCTTTGCCACTCCTCTTTGTACCCCTTGTGCTGACCAAAGCACCAACCATGGACCAAGTGCTCAAGTTTATTTTATAAATCTAACTGGATTGTTTTTCAAGCTGGGGAGACAGGACTTGGGCTAAGGAGGAGCAGGCCAGTGCCATGGTCTCTGAGCATGTAGCACAGGTGTGCAGGAGGACTGCAGACCGGGAGCACCACTGGCTGGAACCCCCCAGGAAGAGGCCTTGGAGGAGTGGGGACTTGGGAGTAGGTAGGAGGGGAGAGAGAATTCTGGGAAGATGGAGCAGCACAAGTAAAGGCAATGGTGCACATGACCGAGGACTCCTGGAAGCCTTGCTTGGTGAGCACAGGGATAAGGGATCCTGGAGAATTGAGAGGGGTAGCTGTTGGTTGTGGGAAAAGCTGCTGAGTGCCAGGCTAAAGCATTCTGTTCTATGGACAAGCATGGTTTTGGGTTGGGATTGAGAAGAAAGGAGAGCTTATAGGAAAATCAGTGGCTTTTTTTTTTTTTTTTTTTTTTTTTTTTTTTGCATTTCCTTCTGTCATCCATTGCAAAGACACACCCGCTTCAGGGTAGTATGGAAAGATCCCTGGTCTCGCAGTCAGAAGACCCGAGTTCAAGATGTGGGATCTCTGAACATGGCCCTTCAGTTCTCTCCTCTGAGAGCTGTGCTGATGGCTGTGAAAAGCCTCTGTAGACTACAAAATGAGCATGGGAGAGGCTGTCATTATTCTGGAATTGGGAGACAGATTTCCAGAGGGCCTGGACACAGGATTGAAGGTGGTGAATTTCCGTTCAGCTGCCTGGGTGTCTGCGTGTATAAAAAGCAAACCTAAGTGGTTTTTTTTTTTTCTCTTCCAAGTGAAGATGAAAGTGTTAAAAATAGCAAGGAGGTGAAAGTGTTAAAAATAACGAAGTGGTCTGTCTCCTCTTCTCCTAAGCAGACTGTCCAAACAGATGCGCGGTAGGAGGGGCACCTTTGATGCTAGGCAAGGCACGTGGTGGTGATGCCTCCTCTCTCCTAGCACAGACCCTGGCTTTGTCATCTCCAGCCCTAACTGGGAGCACCGAGGGCCCCAACCAGGAAAATGCAGGCCCTAACAGGCTCTTTGAAAACAAGCTTTGCTAGAACCAGGAACCCCAAGTAAAATTTCCCCCAGCTGCCTCTAAGGCCCATCACACTCCTGTCTCACGCCCACCTATGAGAAAGGAAAAGGTGATGGTCGTTGAGCTGGGCTGCAGAGGAGTGTGGGGTGCAGACACCATGAGGTACCCACAGCCAGGAAAATGAGGATGGTCGGGGAACCAAAACATTAAACCTGCTCAGACCCGTTGACTCAGCAATTTCGTGTCTGGGAATATCTCTTAGGAAAGTAATCAGAGATCCCTACCAACATATGTTATGATGATGTATGACAGAATTATTATACAAATATATCCATAGTAAAAGGGGGTTTGCTGAAATAAATTATCATATATTCATGTAATGTAACACTATCAGGCCATTAAAAATCAGTTTCAAAGGGTAATAAAATGGGAACATGCTCATAGTATAGATTTTTTAAATTGCAGATGATATATGGCTAAAAATGTCTAATAATGCAAAGATGTATACAGACCTTAATCCTCTAGCCTTTTCCCTAGAGATGACCTCTGTTATTAATTTCTCAGGTATCTTTCTGGATATTATACACACACACACACACACATACACACATTCTTTTTAAATAAAAGGTATCATTCTATAGTCATTACACATCTTATTTTTATTTTATTTATTTATTTTTTTGAGACAGAGTTTCACTCTTGTCACCCAGGCTGGAGTACAATGGTGTGATCTCAGCTCACTGCAACCTCCACCTCCTGGGTTCAAGCGATTCTCCTGCCTCAGCTTCCCGAGTAGCTGAGATTACAGGCACCCGCCACCTTGCCGGGCTAATTTTTGTATTTTTAGTCGAGATGGGGTTTCAGCACGTTGGTCAGGCTGGTCTCGAACTCCTGACTTCAGGTGATCCGCCCACCTCGGCCTCCCAAAGTGCTGGGATTACAGGCATGAGCCACTGCTCCTGGACATACATCTTAATTTTTAAAAAATCTAACCATCGGTCTTGGAGATCTTTCCTTATTGACACAAAAAACCAATCCAATTCTTTACAGCTGCATACTATTCCATCATTTGTATGTGTCATATTTTATTTAATCATCCCGCTATTAATGACCATTGAGTTGGCTTCCTGCGTTTTGCCATTACATTGTTGCAACAAACATGTTTGCATGTGTCTGCCCTCATGTGCATGTAAATCTGCATGATACATGATTGATTTGATAGATTTTAGGAATTACATCATTCTTTCATACACTCAGCAACTATTTAATGAGTGCCTACTCTCTGATAGGTGCTGTTAGATGTGGCTAAATTTTAAAGTGTAGAATTTAAAAGGTGGGCTACCAAATTCCATGTGCAAAATGACCCCACGCATGTATAAAAACACACACATCCACAGATTTATATGCAGGAGAGAAGATGTGGTCCCTGGCCTCTAGGCTGTCTCAGTCTGTGGCAGGACAGACAGACAAGTGCACGTGGCACTGTAAGGTTGAGCACAGTCTAAGTACTCAGCATGGTCTCTGGCACATAGTAGGTGCCCAAGAAATACATGTGGAATGAATTGAGGGGGTAAGGGCTTCCAGGGCAGGTAACCTCTAAGCGCAGCCTTCAGTGCTCTGTAGGTGGAATTATCTGCTAGAGACGTGGCAAAAGGGAGAGGAATCAAGACAGAGGCCCAGAGGTTCAAACGTACCCGGCACATTCAGAGAATCCCTTTCAGAAACGCATCCCCAAGAGCTTCTGTGTTCTCTACGGTGATGTTGCAGTGCTGTGTTTTTCCGCAGTCTCGCTCCATCGGCCTCAATCCTCTGTACGTCATGCTGCCCTGTACCCTGAGCGCCTCCTTTGCCTTCATGTTGCCTGTGGCCACCCCTCCGAATGCCATCGTGTTCACCTACGGGCACCTCAAGGTTGCTGACATGGTAACAGCTGTTTTTATTTACTCCCATCGGACTATAATGCTGTTGTCATAAGGGATGCCCCATTTATGAATGACAGAGTTTCGAAACGATGTCACGTGATTTGGGAATACCGCGGAGCATCCAGACCCGTAGCTGTTGCTGACATTTAGAAGGGAGCTTTTCTTCTTTTTTTGAGATGATCTCAAGCCTCACACACTGTTCTTTCTCTGAGGTGGGTTATAGACTCTCCCACCTGGAGAAGCCAATGCAGGCACCAGGGGAGTCCTTGGAAGGGGTGAAGATGGGGCTGAGGGACTCACATGGCCAAGGATGGACTTGACAAATTAGCAAGAACCATGAAGATAGGCAGGGCAGGCTTAGGCAGCAAGGGATGCTAGTGACAGTCACAGAGATTGGTAGGGGTGTCTGAAGAGGCAGAAGCAGGGAGAGGAAGAGAGAGACCACTACTTGGGAGTAGATGATGCCTTGGAAACAAATGTAGTCAGCGAAAGAACTCTTCATGCCTGGCTTGGCTCTGTCACCTTTGCTGGGAGAAGGGCAGCTTTGCAGCTCTGGGCTGGGAAAGGGGCAAGTGTATGAGCCCAGGAGGCCAGAAATGTCCCTTGGACATTTGATGTTCGTTATCTCAGAACCTCGGCTGGGTATCTCGGGGACTCCAAGGAGCGTTTTCATAAATAGGGTGGGTCCCAGAAACCATGAACTGCAAACTTGATTGCAGTCCCCGGTAAAATATCTACAACGGGCTAGTGAAGCAACGGTTAGTGATCACGAGGGAAGATTGCAGAGCGGGCATCAGAAAGAGCCTGAGGAGGTCCATGGGGAAGCTGGCACGTCCTTGTAGGATGGTTAAGGCACTGGGGTGAGCAATGAACCTGGACTCACACACTGGGCTCTGTCACCGTTTCCCTGAATGGCCTAAGCTGTTGCCTCCTGTCACCTCTCTGAGGTCATTTTCCAAATGCTCACGGGCATAGAGAACCCATCTGTTCTGCCTACTTCCCAGGGATGCCTTGAGCACTGAGGATACCTGGGGGACATGAAGTCGCTCTGTCCTGGGGGTCGGGACACCCCAGCCAGGGACAGAGCATGGCACGGGGACACTGAGGTCCAGTGAGCCGACGCTTTGTCCTCCTCTTTGAGAGCGCTAGTTCCCAGGAGGCCTCAGGGTGCTGACTCACGCTGTCTCTTTTCCAGGTGAAAACAGGAGTCGTAATGAACATAATTGGAGTCTTCTGTGTGTTTTTGGCTGTCAACACCTGGGGACGGGCCATATTTGACTTGGATCATTTCCCTGACTGGGCTAATGTGACACATATTGAGACTTAGGAAGAGCCACAAGACCACGCACACAGCCCTCGCCCTCCTCAGGACTACCGAACCTTCTGGCACACCTTGTACAGAGTTTTGGGATTCACACCCCAAAGCGACCCAATGACGTCCACACACCACCAAAACCCAGCCAATGGGCCACCTCTTCTTCCAGGCTCGGATGCAGAGATGGTCATGGGCAGCTGGAGGGCAGGCTCAGAAATGAAGGGAACCCCTCAGTGGCGTGCTGGACCCATCTTTCCCAAGCCTTGCCATTATCTCTGTGAGGGAGGGCAGGTAGCTGAGGGATCAGATGCAGGCTCCTGTACCCGCTCTGCCTCAAGCATCCCCCACACGGGGCTCTGGTTTTCACTCGCTTCGTCCTAGGTAGTTTAAATGGGAATCAGACCCCCTGGTTGAGAGGTAAGACAACCACCCACCCTTGCCCATGCCCCTTCCGGCTCTCCTTGAGCAGCCTCAGATCATCTCTGTCACTCTGAAAGGGACACCCCAGCCAGGGACAGAATGCCTGGTCTTGCGCAACCTCCCGCTGCGAGAGTGGGAATCAGAACTTTCTGGAGCCTCTGGGAACTCCTCGTGTGGCCACCACCAAAGGATGAGGAATCTGAGTTGCTAACTTCAGGATGACACCTGGCTTCCCACCCACAGCGCAACACAGGCCGACCTACTCCCTTTGTCACCTTGTTCTGTTTTAATCGACTGGACCCCTGTCCCACCTCTCCAGTGAGCCTCCTTCAACTCCTTGGTCCCCTGTTGTCTGGGCCAGCATTTGCCGAGTTGCCCTGGCTGGCACTCTCTGGGGGTCCCCCTTTTCTCCCAGGCAGGTCATCTTTTCTGGGAGATGCTTCCCCTGCCGTCCCCAAATAGCTAGGATCACACTCCAAGTATGGGCAGTGATGGTGCTCTGGGGGCCACAGTGGGCTATCTAGGTCCTCCCCACCTGAGGCCCAGAGTGGACACAGCTGTTAATTTCCACTGGCTACGCCACTTCAGAGTCTTCCATGCCAGAGTTTGAGCTCCTCTGGGGAAAGCCTTTCCTTTGTTGACTGGTCTTCACAGCCATGGCTGGTGACAACAGGATTGCTTGTCTCTCAGCAAACAACCCCTGCCTGTGGGCCAATCTACTTGAAGTTACTTGGACAAAGACCCCAAAGTGGGGCAACAACTCCAGAGTGGCTGTGGGAATCTTCAGAACCCCCCTGTAAGAGACGGACATGAGAGACAAGCACCTTCTTTTCCCCGCAAGTCCGTTTTATTTCCTTCTTGGGCTGCTCTGGAAGAGGGGCAGCAGCAAAGAGACGGGCTCCTGGATGGCATTTTCCAGGGCAGGAGAAAGTATGAGAGCCTCAGGAAACCCCATCAAGGACCGAGTATGTGTCTGGTTCCTTGGGTGGGATGATTCCTGACCACACTGTCCAGCTCTTGCTCTCATTAAATGCTCTGTCTCCCATGGAAAGCTCCACTGTGCTGCTGACTTGTCTCTGGTTTTCTGCAGTGTGGGGAACCCAGGGAGGCAGATGAATGAACGGTTGCTCCCTGCTCACCGACTGGGTGTCAGGCCTCCCTGTCCCTGTTGAATCCACTAGTCATCTCATTTGATCTTCGCAGCAACCCTGTGAGATAGGAAAGTGTTATTATCCTGCTTTGTCTTTCAAAAAAAAAGTGAGGTTCAGAGAGGCCAAGGGAAGTGTCCGAAGTCACACATCAAGTTACTGGCAGTTACAGTTCCAACCTAGAGCTTCCAACTCCATACCCCCTGCTCTTCTGCTAGCCATGAAGGGCTTTGACCTTATGGGGCTTGTAGGGAAAGGTGAGTGGCCAAGAGCAAGTCCATGCCAAGGGAAGATCCAAACATGAGTCCCTGTCTGTTGCCTCCCTTGAGATAGGCACAGGACAAGTGATCAATGAGATGGGGTGGTCCTTGCCCTAAGAAGCAAAGTGTTTGGTTGGGGAGGGAAGTAGGGAAAAGGCTGCCACCTCCCCCTACCAAGGTACAACTGTTCTTCCTCCCCAGCCCTCTGTCACTGCCTTCCATGCTGCTGCTGTTGACTGGCCTGCCCCACCAGACTGAGGGCTCTGACTGCCCACCGAGTCTAGTGTCAGCATTATGACTGACCCAGGGCAGGTTCTATAGTTAGTATGATGGATAAATAAATGATTGGTCAGTGTGGTCCGTTAGGTGCAAGCTGGTGGTAGTAGGCAAGGTCAATGAAGGTCATCCAAGGTAGGCGTTGAAGGATGAGTAGAATGGCCAGGGGTAATGGGGGAGGAACTGGTGGGTGGGTGGAGGACTCTTCCAGACACCATGTGGTTGAGGGCTGACAAAAAGCTAGGTGGAGGGCTTCCAGAGTGCCAAGCTTCCACCTGAAGAGGCTGACCAGAGGCCAGTCCTAAACAACTTCTCTAGGAGTTGGCCGGAGTTGCACTAACATGTATGGTCTCCCCAACCAAACACTTTGCTTCTTAGGGCAAGGACCACTCTGTCTCATTGATCACTGTCCTGAGCCTATCTCAGGGGAGGCAACAGGGAGGGACCCATATTTGGAGATCTTCCCTTGGAGTGACTTGCTCTTGGTAACTCACCTTTCCCTAGAAGCCCTATGAGGCCAAGGCCCTTCATGGCTAGCGGAAGGAGCAGCGGGCATGGAGTTGGAAGATCTGGGTTGGAATTGTAACTGCCACTAACTTGACTTGTGGTTTTGAATGCTTAACTTGGCCATACATGCTCTCTTATTTGCTTCTGATGGCAAATAAGAGAAGGCCCAGCAAACAGTGGCTTAAACCAGAAGGTCATTTAATGTTTGCTTTTCTGGAAGTCTGTAGGTAGGTGGTTGCTGGCATTGGCCCAACAGCTCATTTCGGCCTCCAAGGACTTGGGCTCCATAGTCCACTCTGTCATCTTAAAGCCGTCACACTTTTACCCCCATGCTTGACCCCCAGGCTACATACACAGCTGCTTTCCTTCAAGGCAGAAAGGTGGATGGGGGTGAGGGCATGATGGTGTCAGCTGCATCTTTCTCTTTTACTAGGAAAGTAAAAGCTTCCTCAGAAGCCCATGCAGACTTCCCTTTATGTCTTATGGGCCATAAGTGGGTCACACGCCTACCCTTAGACCCACCATTCACAAAGGGGAATCAGAGCCCCATTGGAATACTGTGACCAATTAAGACTCATCTCTTGGGGTTGGGGAATTAGCCTATGTTTCCCCAAATTGAGCTATTTCCACCCACTACAAAATCTGGGCTCTGGCAGGAAAAAACGGTGGGAGGAGGTGTTGGATAGGCGATGATAAGTGTCCAGCGTGATCACTCCATGAGATCTGAGTGACCCTCTTTCCGCAGAATTCAGTAGAAGCGTGTTGCTAGGTAGGAAGTGAGTACGTGGTTGTCTGGTCAAGAGCTTCAACAATGCCTCCAATTCCCAACAGGTAGGCCCTCTGCAGGGGTCCTGTGGATTGGGAGGCTAGAGTCTGAGCCACGGATGGAGCTCCGTCCTAACATCTGACACCAAATGCTGCACTCTGGGTCTCGGTTTTCTTCATGAAGGCGCTGGACCAGTGGGTCTCTAAGGGCTTTTCCCAGAGTCACGGATCCTCTTACCCTAGTTGACCCTCCCTCTGCTTGGGCCAGATGCAGCACCCCCATCCCAATCTCCCATGTTGTCTCATCTTGGAGCCTGTCCAAGGTCCCACTGCCTGCTTCCCTATGGGGCTTCACTGAAGGCCATCTCAGGCCTTTCCCCCATCTATATGTTGCCTCTGACATTTTGTAAAGAGGCTCCACCCTAGGCCTTTGAGTTCTCTCTTCTTAGTGCTTGGATCAGACATCTGGGCTTGAGGTTAGCTGAACACACAATTTTGACCAGGATTGCTTTCGTAATTTTTTTTGGCAGGGACTTACGGCTCCACAAAGATTCTCTGCATTCCAAAATTAAGTCCCTGGGCTCCGTAGCCTCTGACCTCTGAATGAGATGCTCCTGAGGGCAGGACACAGGTCTCCTCCCCTGTTCATCATGAGCTGAGAGCTTTCTTGGAGAAGGACCGGGGTCTCCCCGTCTGGCATTTACCTGGGACAGGTGAAGTTTTCTCTCCTCCCCACCATCTCTTGCGCATAAACGAAACAAGTCTTTGCTCTGGGCTCCAAGCAGGATACCAGTTCACTAGCACAAAGCCCAGTCCTTGAGATGAACAAATCAGGATGTTCTTGGGTGAGACCTGTAATAGCATGTTCTTGTCTGTGGAAACAGAGCCCAAAAGCTGTATTGTCCAGTTAAAAACTACAGCTGGCAGCCGGGCGCGGTGGCTCACGCCTGTAATCCCAACACTTTGGGAGGCTGAGGCAGGTGGATCACGAGGTCAGGAGTTGAAAAACAGCCTGACCAAGATGGTGAAACCCTGTGTCTACTAAAAATACAGAAACACTAGCTGGGCATGGGAGTGGGCACCTGTAATCCCAGCTACTCGGGAGACTGAGGCAGAGAATTGCTTGAACCTGGGAGGCGGAGGTTGCAGTGAGCCAAGATCCCGCCACTGCACCCCAGGGTGGGTGACAGAGTGAGACTCCGTTTCAAACACAAACAAACAAACAAACAAACTACAGCTGTCTGTCCTATTCTTAGCCCAGAATCCCTTCTTCCAGGTACTTTCTCCCCCTAGTTACACAGCCTCTGAAAAGCCTTTGTGTCCCAACCTACCAGATACTTTTTAAAAATCTATTCACACACACACACACAAGTTTTATCAAGATAAATCCTCCATACCACAGGATGGGCTTTCATATTTCTCAACCGGAAGTTTGCGACTTCAGGCTGAAATCTCTGCAATCGAGATTCCGTTTATTTCACTTGGCTTCCTGAGCCAGGACTCTCTTGCCTGCTCCAAGAGCATCTTCCAGCAGCTTCCCTGGTCGCTTGTACAAATACCCGCTTCCAGCCTCAGAGCCACAGGCCACCAATGGCCGGCAGGGGTGTCCCTGCTTCGAGGGCAAAGAAATATTAAA